ATAATAGAGACGGCGGCAAACAAAAAATTACTTACGAACCTAAGTACGAATCGCGATTTAGTATCTTGCGCACATTTGAGCCCTTGTTTGCATCGAAATGTTGAAAATTCGAGGAGTTGTCGGCACTTGAAAAAACTATCCCCATTTGGGAAGGGTCAAAATCCTACCACGTTTTGAACGATAGTGACTTCAATTCTTTCTCAAAATTTGCTTAGCGTACATTATCAGAAAGCTCTCGTTCAAAGCAATCGCATTAAAGTCTTTTCCGCTTTCTACGAGTAACTTTCACTTTCAAAATTTCGATGTTCGGATATGTACGATTTGTGATTGGTCAACTTTAAAGTCGATTATCTCGATGCGCGTAAGTAACATTTTGTTCGCCGTAGTCTCATATTAAGTGGATATTACTTGATAAGTATAATTTTTTTAACCATTGATGCACGTCTTGGGCTTGCCTAACGCGCTCACATGTAAGCTCATACAGCGGTACCTCACGGGATCGTTGTTGCCATTTTCAACGCACAGGTGTACCTGAATTATGGTACAGGTCCGATAAGGTCGGATTGGGTAAATGAAAAATATGCGTGTGAAACGCTTTTATCTTAGAATTTGTAAAGCCATACACATACATGTATTTTGACCGGATAGCGGACCTCCCTACCCCTATCGAAATAGTCGAAACCCGACCGTGGCCTCCCTTTGATTGGTCTAAATTCATACAAAAGCTGTAATTGGCTGTTAATGGACATACAATAAATAAGTAAGGTCGGATAAGTCATTTCACAACTGAACTGAACTAGGCGGCGCGGCCGCGCACCTGCTGCGCGCGCTCCACCGCCTGGCAGCCACGGGCGCGTCGTCAACAGCTACAGGAGCAGGAGCAGACGTGGACGTCCCCGAGTGGTTCATCCCGCGCGACGACGTGGACTTCGACTCGGACGCGTCGTTCGACGGCGGCTCGTACGGCTCCGTGCACCGCGGCTCGTGGACCGGGCGGCAACGGCACCAAGATCGTGGTCAAGTGCCTGCTGGTAGACGACGCCGAGGTGGACGTCTGGAGACGACTCGACCACCCGCTCGTGCTCAAGCTCTACGGCGCGTGCCACGTGAGCTCGCCCGCATTCTTCGTGTGCGACGACGCCACGCACGGCAGCTTCAGTGACTTCCTGGAGGAAGACGCGGGGCGCGCGCAGCGCTGGGGCTTGGCTACCTGCACGCGGAGAAGGTGGTGCACGGCGACCTCAAGTGCACCAACCTCCTCGTGGGCAACGACTACAAGGCCTGGACCATGTACTGCTGCAGTACATGGGGCCGTCGCCCCACCTGCCGCTCAGCGCCGCCTGATGCTTCCGCTCCACGATGCTGCTGGACTGGATCTGGGCCTGCAGCTGCCCGACTTCCGCCCCCACTGCCGGCTGGACGCTCGCCCGCTTCCTGCGCAGCGACGAGTTCTACAGCCGCTGGCAGTTCGCTGAGGCCACGCGCGTGGCTGTGGAACGCAGCGACACGGAGCTACTGCAGTGGCTGGTTGACCACTTCCAGGACGTGGTTGTGCCCTCGGACGTCGTGGCGCTGGCGGTGCTCAAGGGTGACCTGGCTGTGCTGCACTTCTTGGCCGCCAACGCCAACACCAAGGTCTGGTGGGATCCAAGGGACGTGCTGTATGCACTGCAGAACGACTGGCTTACCACCGCCAACTGGCTGCACCAGCACGCGCCGCTCGGCACCATGACGGACGAAGTACGCGACGATACCATCACTGCCGCTGTGAATGCCGGCGACGTGGCTCTCTGCGAGTCTCTGCTGCCCAGAGGCAGGTGCGTCTTAGACTACGCCAAGTTCTGTGTCAAGCCCGACATCATCGAGTGGAAGCTGGATTGCGGCTACTTCTGGGTCGGCCAGTGGCACTACACTCTGGCTGAGGCGTGCCGCCACGGCAATTTGGATGTAATCAAGTTCCTGGTGGATCACCCAACAGGACAGCAAGTCATCGACGAGATGGGCCGCAGCAGAGAGCTCTCGAGTCTCGTGTGCTTCCCTGCTGCCAAGGGCAACAACAAGGCGATGCAGTATCTACTCGACGAAGGGGCTGGCGGGCCATTCGAGCAGGCGATGGTCAGCGCCATCTGGATGTGGCATCTTGGCTGATGCGGTGATTTCCCGAGCTCAACCCTGCGAGCTTCACCCCGCTTGCTCTCGCCAAGAACAAGTTCGAGGTGCTGCTGTTCCTACACGAGCACCACCCGGAAGCCTTCACGCCCGACTTCGTGCGAAGCGCCCGTCTGCCTATCACGGGACTATTGACGCCAAGCGATGTCCAGATCCAAAACTGGTTGAAGCTACACTACCCCGTGTCAGACATCTCCCAACTTGCAGGAGGGCTTCCTGAAAGAGTGGCGCAGCAGATCGCGAGGCAACAGGCGAAGACCTGATCTCACCACTGTTCAGCAACTGGCCGGACGGGGCCCTGGTGGGGTCAACAACGCTATGGCGATCGTGATGAACCATATAATGGTGAGGGTGAAGCATGGTGACGACGATCAAGTGCTGTGGAGCTCATTTTTGCGTGTTTTCGATTCATATATCGTGATTTCAAACAAATCGTGCAATTTCACTACGCAGATGTTGGTTGCCATTCGTGATAGCACTTATTTGAAACTTTTGGCCAGCACGGGCACACTC